AGGATCGTCAATTATTTTGCGGCGTGTATGATCGCTGATGTCGCTTGAAACCAGGAGTAAGTCTGCAGTTGTTCTGGTTCCATTGTAGTGCAGATATGTAGCCGGATCCTCATTGCTGTAAATAAGTTTCAGAGGGTTGCTATTTACCATGTCTTCAATTCATTGCTATAAATAAGTTCCAGAATGTTGCTTTTTAGCATGGTTTAGCATGATTTCAATTTCCTTTTCAGCTATGTTTGTATCCTTGTAGCCCTGTGGAAAGATGTTCAGAACGTGGGCGTTGAAGTCTCCTGTATATAGTTTTGTGTGAGATGTTCAGAAAGTCAATTTTCGACAATTCTGGGGAGGATTATAGACTGCATATATCTTGCAGTGGTTTTGACATTTCCAAACATTTAATCTGATTATTTCACATATGTCTTGTGTTTTGGATTATAGACTGCATATACCTTGAAGTGGTTTTGACAATGGATTATAGACTGTATATATCTTGAAGTGGTTTTGACATTGGTTATAGACTGCATATATCTTGAAGTGGTTTTGACATTTCCCAGACTGCATATACCTTGAAGTGGTTTTGACATTTCCAAACGAAATGCATATATCTTAAAGTGGTTTTGACATTTCCAAACATTTAATCTGATTATTTCACATATGTCTTGTGGGCATTCCCAAATATTTAATCTGATTATTTCGCATATGTCTTGCGTCGAGCCCCATATTCTGAGTAGGTCGTAGTGTGAGGTGAGGCCATCTTTTACTCCAATTAGATCGTAGTGTGAGGTGAGGCCTTCTTTTACTCCAGTAGAAATCTTTATTACTCCAGTCTATCGTAGTGTGAGGTGAGGCCTTCTTTTACCGTTAGAATTAGTTAGAATTGCTTAGTGGGAGGTGAGGCCTTCTTTAACTCCAGTTAGAATTCCACTTGTCTCTTGTGTCGAGCCCATACTCTTGATTAGATCGTAGTGTGATGTCTAGCCCATACTCTTGATTAGATCGTAGTGTGAGGTGTGGCCTTCTTTTACTCCAGTTAGAATTCCACTTGCAACTTGACGGTATTTAGGTAGAAGGTACAGGGTGTAACCTGGGAATTGTTAGTATTTCAGTTTGTCATCCGACATGTTGTGAAAATGTCTACTTTACAGGTTTGTAGGATTTTCTGGACTTGGATCTTTTTGTCCCGCGACATTCCTCCAGCATTCCACTGGAGGATCTGAAGACGTTGTGATTCGCTCTGACGAGGGCGATTTTTCTTATAGCCTTTTTTCCCTCCAGCATTCTACTGGAGGATCTGAAGACGTTGTGATTGGCCTTAACGAGAGCAATTTCTCTTATAGCCTTTTTTCAAGCTAATCATAATAAATCGAAGTCAAAATCGTTCAAAGCTAATCATAATTAATCGAAGTCAAAAACGTATGGGCTAATCATAATAAATCGAAGTCAAAAACGAATGCCGAGTATAGACTTTTTTGCCGTAAGAAAATACGTTGTCCAGGGTCAGATTTTTTGCCGTAAGAAAATACGTTGTCCAGGGTGCACATTGACTTTTTGCCGTAAGAAAATACGTTGTCCAGGGTGCACCTCGAGTGATATACTTTTTTGCCGTAAGAAAATACGTTGTCCAGGGTGCACCCACCATTTTGCCGTACAAAGATACGTTGTCCAGGGTGCACCACGTACACACCCCACTTCTCGATATTAAATATCGGCAAATCTTAAAAAACTCGAAGGGTGCTGGTGAATTGCTGCGGAGTTATACTCGAGTTTATCCTGAATGCACTTCTCCAATCTAAATGCATCATCTTTTAATATAATAATTCATTGGCCCGTTTAGGAGAGCACGAACCGTTGCTCATCTGCGTATTAGAGCCACCCTGGTGATTCTAGGCTTCCATCTTTTTCTATACTTACCAGATATCTTTTCTATTCAGAGACCGTAGACTCAGCAGACAGGTATCGTTACTAATGCGTCACTGGCGTTCCATCTTCGATAAGGATTTAACATTTTGAATGGTTCGGTAGCACTGACTTTTAGAATAAACTGAATAGGTTTTAAATAGGCGGGCCTGACTTTTATTCCAACATTGTTCGTCACCGTTTTGGTCCTATTATAATGATAACGGGATAATACGTAGGAAAGTAGCAATTAAAATGTACTGCTTAATAATTGGTGTCTATAGCAGAAATCCTTTAATAGCTCAGTTTCTTTAGTTTATTCCCTACACAGTGGTTTATTTGCCTTATATTCATAGGTACCAAAAGTCTATAAATTCTAATTTTGGTCATGAGAAAAAATAAGTTATTTCCATCAGAGGAGAGGTAAGAAAAGTCACATCTTTTACTTTGACTTCACAAGTTGCAGCTGTCAAAAAGTTACAAGTCATTATATGCCATCTTCAATTTATGCCTGACATTTTGATAGGCTTCATTATGGATATGATGATTTGAGAATTACAGGGCTTCCTTGTATTAGATATTTCTGGTTTGATTTACAAATCAATTTTTATTCACTTGATATGATGCATGGTGAAGTAAATATGACATGATCTTTACTTAGAATCTTTTGAGATTTCTGCTTAGCATAATAAACTTTAAGAACACCCCAATGTTCAGTGAGCAACACCAGCCACATTCAAATCAAATTTTAATCCTTCCAGCAACGTGGCAGGCAATAAACCGGGTTTTTTTGAGTTTAGGTTCAGCAGAAGATCAATGATAATCTATATTTTTGTAAAGATACAATTTTAAATAAAATTTAAAATTCGTGAACAGTGATATAAAGTTCATGGCTCCAGGAACCAGAATAAAAGCTTAAGAACATTATGAAGGTTAACGGATTTAGTTTGTAAGGCATTTTGTATTAAAATTGTAATAGAAACTTTGAAAATGTTCTATTATATTACAACATGTTGTCTAAATTAATTTGTTAAATAAGAAACAAACGTTTGGCAATTTATGCGAATTAAAATCTATAAATTTTGCTTTTTGTCTAAAATAAAAGAGTTTTCTTAATTGTTGTTTTTCCAAATAAATATTTGGCCTTGCATTTGGCGCGTTTAAGCGCTTCATTTGACAAGGAACGTGTATTCTTTGAGGAATTTTCATGTCAATGTAAAATTAATTTTCTTAAACATTATTTGAATAGGAAAAAGCGAAAAGCATCGACTAAAGTGCGTTCCGATGCAAAGAAAAGGAAGACAGACAAATCGGTGCCTGGAGCAGACTCCTCTGCAACATCTGGGGCAATCGGGCCAGCTGTTTCTAATTTTTTGCCAAATGATAAGACAACTGAATGCAAAACAGATTTAGCTTTTGCTCCTCTTCCATGGTTTATGGACACAGCTGCTTCTGTTTCACTGTGCATTGATCGTAATGAGGTGCCACTTATATGTGGTCCTGTCGGTTGCGGCAAGTCATCCATTGTTGACTATTTGGCTAAAGTTCGTGGCGCCAAGGCACTTAGAATGCAAATCAGTGAACAAACAGACACTAAAGCTCTACTAGGAGCCTATTGCTGTTCTAATTCACCCGGTGTTTTCCTCTGGCGTCCTGGATGTCTGACCCATTGCATGACCACTGGCAAGTGGTTAATTCTTGAAGACGTCGATAAAGGATCTGCAGATTTGCCAATTCTTTTAAGTCCCCTCCTGCGCGGTATGAAGGATAGCTCTTCCCAAGTCATTCATCCGAACACTGGAGAACCCATTCCCTGTCATCAAGACTTTCGTCTCATATTAACTCTACGTACACTTTCCTCCCCATTGGGTTATTCTGATTACAGCTCACAATTGGACATATATCTAAATAATTGCACAGTCATTTGTATGAATGGAATGCCTGCAGATATTATTGAGCAGGCAAGTGTTTGATAGCTTATTTTTGGTTATAAAAGAACCTAATTTATAATTAGATTTTTTTCTTCATTCATTTAGATTATTCAGAAGTTTAATCCAGATCTAGTGCCTTTATCAAGGCGTCTTCTATCAGATTTCTCTTTGCTTAAACACATTGGTGCCCCTAGTGGAAACAATCAGCGCTCAGTGTGTTCGCGTGACTTCTTTAAGTTTGTATCCCGTATTCGTAACATTGCTGATGGAAGTAAAGACAGTGCTCTTGAGTTGTATCTCAACGCTTTGGATTGTTTCGTATGCTCTCAAACTTCGGGCAGTGCTCGAGATGAAGTCGCCGTTCATTTAGGTGGACTTTTCAACTTTTCTCGTGAAGAGGCCATCAAAATTTGGCATTCTAGACGTCCTGAGCTCTGTTTAAATCGGGCCCTAACGAGAGTGGAAGCGGGAAGAGCTGTTATTCCTATCACAAAATCTATTCACTGGGAGTTGCAATTAACTAAGTGAGCATTTCCATCTTTATATACCATTTATTAATTTCATTTTTGTATACAACTTTTTCATATTGATTATCCCTATCTTGTTTACGAGTCTATTTTCTTATTCTCTGGCATAATCGACGAAAGCTCTGTGTAAGCTTATCATTTTTTTATTTATATCAAATGGCAGGCGTTTTGATGGCTATCATTAGCCCTTTAGTTGACTTCGGGCTTCACAGAGTTGAAGGAACATCAAAGTGGAAAAAGTGCCAAAAGGTGAGGTGAGTACTGTGGAAGTAGTCGAATATGA